TCTAAATCTAAATCTAAATCTAAATCGGATATCCCATTTAGATTGAGTCTAAATCGAATAAAAAACTAAATCGGATATATAACATTTACATAAAGCACCGATCGTAATATATGGCTTTCAAAATTCATCTGTTTACAGATGTTGATCACTCACGGAATCAACATGATTTATTGGCTTTTATTTTTCCTATCATCAGTAACGAATTTATTTATGAAGTGGAGGCTAACAGCTCAAATGAATTTCAATCAGCTCTCCAACATTGTGATGTCTGTGGAAAATTTACTCCAAGGGTAATAGAAATACATCAAAATTAGCGCAAATATATATCAATTTCTCTTAATTATATATTTCAGGCTCTTAATTATATATTTCAACCGAGAGCAAAAGGTCAATATGAAGGTGTCTGTTGAGGCGACAACGACACAAAGCTAAAAGGATTGCGGATTAGTGTGTGCATATATCGAATTTCAACAATGCCCACCCTATTAGGTACATGCATAAGAAATACGGATTTCAACATTTTCATAAATTTCCAACGATAGAAACCTGATATCGATGAATGTTATAAACTATTTGAAAGTTGTAAAACTCCTCTACAAAATAGGCCAGGCAAAATAGGCTAAAACGTGTTTCAATTCATCGAACCATTGAAGAAATTTCGAGGCCGAAATGCGAGTGACCAAAAAAGGAATCGAGTCACTTTAAGGACAAGTTTAGTGTGGTCAAAATAGAGTTAGCTTCCCAAAATTGAAGATTTAAAGAGATAACTATATATCAATTCATTAAAAAGTCTAAATCGAGGCACTTTAGGGACCAAAAAAGGGCACTTTTTGAAAACCCCACTTTCACAAGAGTTCGCTTTTGACTGTGGGAAATAACCCCCCAAAATACCATTCAAAATAATTAAGAGTTGGGATCATTTCATGGGAAAACTTTGTTTTTACAATAATTTTTCTTTTTTGTGAAAAAGCCGGCTTTTTGATAATTTTGAGGGTTTTGAAACTTATGCTCTATCTAAATTTCTGTAAATGCATTTCCGTTAGACTTTTTTTAATGAATTGATATATAGTTATCCCTTTTCTTTTAAATCTTCAATTTTGGGAAGCTAACTCTATTTTGACCACACTAAACTTGTCCCTAAAGTGACTGGATTCCTTTTTTGGTCACTCGCATTTCGCCCTCGAAATTTCTTCAATGGTTCGATCAATTGAAACACGTTTTAGCCTATTTTTTAGAGGAGATTTACAACTTTCAAATAGTTTATAACATTCGTCGATATCAGGTTTATCGATATCGGGTTTCTATCGTTGGAAATTTATGAAAATGTTGAAATCCGCATTTCTTATGCATGTACCTAATAAAAGCACATATTTTGAGGAAACTATCGTAACAATTAGCCAACTTTTATTGATTCAATAAAATTTTGGTCACATTAACTGAGTCTAAAGATTCTTCATCAAATGATACCAAAATAAGACTGATACACTCAAAAATTGTTTGTTTGGTTAGGGTAGTTTTCTACGAATGCTTTACAAATCACTACTTTGATTTTGTTCCTTTTAAAGTCTTAGTCAGTAAGTCTAAATGAAAAACCTTTTATCACACTTAAAGCAATCAAAATCGAATAAACGTTTGGAGACAAAAAAAAACATAAAGCTGAACAAAAGCTTTTTTTGATGACTGTATATTTGTTTATTTCATATCCGATTTAGGTTTTTATCCGATTTAGACTCAATATCTAAATCCGATATCCGATTTTGATTAACTTTTAACAACCAAAAAGCTCACTCAAACAATTTTTAAGTTAAAATTTGCATTTCTAGTTTCAATTATTTATTGTTTCTCGGAATTTCAAGCTTTTTATTTCATGAATTCAATTTGTTTCACTTGAGTGCCCCGGGAAAACATTCATCGATTTCCACATACACTACTGGACAAAAAATCAATCACCACGTGAATTTTCTCCATCTTTGAAGAGCTATAACTCGGAGCCTTTCCATTGTAGACTGGAAGTGTTATAGTGATTCTAAAAGCTTAAAACAAGCTCGATAAGACGATGTATTTGCTTTTTAAAATTATTTTAATTTTTGTAACATTTCGGGGTGGGCAAAATAGGGTTTAAAAAAACAATATTTTCAGCGCTGTTTTCTTGTTGAGGCCGAAATGTGTCAAAAATGAAAAGAATTTAAAAAAGCAAATACACCATTTTATAGAACTTGTTTTAAGCTTTTAGAATCACTATAACACTTCCAGTCTACGGTGGAAAGGCTTGGAGTTATAGCTCTTCAAAGATGGAGAACAATTCACGAGGTGATTGATTTTTTTGTCCAGTACTGTAGCTACGGTAGCCAAGCCATACTTTAAATCGCCTATCTGAAAGTTGTTGTTCTCAGCCAGATGTAATCGGTTTTTCTTTGTTTCTCAGCGTTGACAACCAGTTGAATGCCTTGTTGTTGGTCGAATAGAAGACCAGTCTCTAATAGAGGACCTCCAGACTCCTCAAAATTGGGACTTTTCAGGACTTCTTTTTAGCTCAAGTTATGGATATGGCTCCAAATAGATGTATTTTAGCTTTAGCAGTAAAATTGGAAAAAAAAAGTTTTGCGGTTTTTGGAAAAAACTAGAAAATAATTTTTTGGAAAAAATTTCATGTGGTCCCCCATATGGATTTTTTTGGAGATTTTCTATGGGGCCCAGAAATATAGGATGTTCCACAATTCTGGTGACAAAATATCAACAAAAGTCTATCGAATTTATTTGCAACGTTCCAAACGTTTTCTTTTCATTGAATCTGTCAAAAAAAAGGCCTTTTATCCCTTTTCTGGCTTTTATGCCGGCTGTTTTGAGGATTCGATGAGCCGAAATTTTTCCAATACTTGACCAATACTTGGACTTGGTCAATACTTGGACTTGGCCAATACTTGGACTTGGCCAATACTTGGACTTGGCCAATACTTGGACTTGGCCAATACTTGGACTTGGCCAATACTTGGACTTGGCCAATACTTGGACTTGGCCATTTTTCAAACAGAATTCTTTGAGGAGTTGGGATTCCTCTTAAGTCGATCAAAAATCTTTCGACGATTTGTTTAATTGTTGAATTGTTGGCAGTCTTTGGTTGACCTCGTCCTTTACGATCTTCATTGAAACCCGTTTCTTTTGAAGGCTGTTTGAATGAGTGACACCGGCGCAAACCATGATTTGTTAAGGCTTTTGTTGTCTTGAAACAATTCTGTCGTCTAACGGGAGAGGCTTTTTGGACCAATCGTTCTGATGGTTTCGATCGTTCTGATGGTTGTGGGCCTGCTCAATATGAGGGTTTCTTTTCAGTCGATCAAAGTCGATCGATCTTTCGACGACTTTTTGAATTGCTGGCAGTCTTTGGCGGACCTCATCTTTTACGATCTTCCTTGGATTTCTTTGTAATGCTTCAGAGCACGAAAAACATTTTATCTCTTTTCCTGCAAGATTCGAGATATCTCTGCGAGTGTTTTTCCTTGCTGATGAAGAGTACCGTAATAATTCTAATAGAAGACCAGTCTCTATTAGAAGACCAGTCTCCAATAGAGCCCTTTGAAGGGAGGTTGAAAAATAGAAGACCAGTCTCTATTAGAAGACCAGTCTCTAATAGAAGACCCAAACTCTTAAAATGCACTATGTTACCGTATCCCGCTACCACCCAGATTTTCTTGTAAAAATCATTGTGCAAAGTTATTATTTCTTTCCTACTAGTGTTTTTTGTAATTCTTGTTTCTTGTCTTAAAATAAATAATGTGTTTATTTTCAGGGCTGATGGCTGAGCGACTGCCAATTCGCACGGATTCTCTGGAGGAGTATCGAGATATTCGAAAAGATGAAGGAGACGACTTTGAAATCTTCAAGGAACGAGAAAAGGAGAATGAAAACGAGATGAATCAAGATTCGGAGAATGCTTTGGGAGGCTCTCGAAGCGGAACTGCTCAAGAATGGAAACAAACGGAAGGCATATTCGATCGAGTTTAAGTTAGAAACAATTGAATTTGCAAAGACGATCTTAAAGAATGCTGCAAGCACAAAGTTTCAAGTCAGCAGAAAGATGATTCGCGAATGGATTTCGCAAGAAAAACGATTGCGAAAGATGGGGAAATCATACAAGAGGTTAAAAGGAGGTGGCCGAACCCTCACAAATACGCAACTCGACGTGGAACTTGCCGAATGGGTCCGAAGCGAACGACAGAAGAAAAACAAGGTCTCGAGGCGTTTGGTCCAAGAAAAAGCAAAGCATTTTTGTGAGCAAAACGATATCAAAGTCGATTGTTCATTGGGATGGCTTCAAAAGTTCATGAAGCGTCATGGATTTTCAATGAGAACTCCAACGTCAATCTGTCAGAAGCCTCCCCACGAATATGCTGATGTGTTGGTCAATTTCGTAATGTATCTCAATCGGATGCAAAAGGAGGAACAAATACACACATCTACGCTTGTGATGAAACGGCCGTCTTCCTTGATCCAATTGGCGGAAAATGTGTTGATGAAAAGGAGCAAATGAAGTCTCAGTTCGATCAAGTGGACATGAAAAGACAAAAATTTCTGTGATGCTTACGGCGCGCTCCGACGGTTACAAGTGCAAGCCTTTTGTTCTTTTGCCACGGAAACGAATTGATCCGGTCATCCAGAAGCGATTTGGAGGTAAATTGAATCTTGTCTGGGAGCGAACGACATGGATGAATGATGATCTGACGGCCGACTTTCTCAAGAGAACCTTTGGACATGCTGGACTTTTCAAGTGCTTTTTGGTTTGGGACAGCTTTCGCTGTCACATTTCGAGCTCGACGAAGCGAGTACTTAAAGCAATTAAAATGGACTCGGCGGTAATTCCAGGAGGGTGCACAAAATTTATTCAAGCACCAGATGTTGTTTGGAATCATCCCTTCAAGGCCAAAATCCGAAGCTACTACGACGATTGGATGATGCATGGAGATCAGGAAACCACAAAAGGAGGTAATATCAAAGCTCCATCAATGGACAACTACTTACAATGGATCACCGATGCTTGGAATGATTTGGATAAGGATCTCATCGCTGGATCATTCAAATCCTGCGGAATTACGGTTGCTATTGATGGATCGGAAGACGATCCAATCTCCTGTTTCAAAGTAGGTAAAATTTTAGCTGCTTTTTACTTTATAAGATTTTAAATGTATGTAGTGTTTTTATTTTAGCCCAACGGTGCAGTTCCAGAAGCGGCCTCCAAATTGTTGCAAGCCCGAAATGATGAGATGGTTGCTCAATTATTGGATGAAATTGATTTGGGCGAAGACGAGAAAAGCAAGGATTACGAAAGCGATGCCTCGATTGAAATCAATGACATTAATGAAAATTAAATTGAGGTTTTTTAACGGATTTGCTCTTTTCAAATTGTTTTATGTTTTATGTTAATAATTATTTGTTGTTATTGTTGTTAATTGTTGCTTTAACTAAGTGAATAAAGTGATGATACAAATGTGACCGATTTTTAAAAAGGGTTGCTTCCTAAAATCGTTCTCTAAAGCTTTGACAAATTCAAGACCAGTCTCTAACAGAAGACCAGTCTCTAATAGAAGACCCTTTGGGGAAGGGGTTGAAAATTAGAAGACCATGGTCTTCTATTAGAATTATTACGGTAATAATGGCTAGACGCAGCTCTTTCTTAGACTTTATACCTAAAAAAACAATCAAATAATCAAATTAATAAGAAGAAAAGAAAGAAAGAAAGAAAGACAGAAAGAAAGACAGAAAGCAGTTAAAGGTAGTAAGATGCGCCTCACCATAACTGTGGGACACCCTGTATTTACTTTAAAATTCCATTTCCTAGAATTCGTGATTTTTTGCGCCAATTTTTTGCAATAATTTTCGCTAAAAGTACGGTAATTTCTCCTAAAGGTGCGTTTTTAAAAACGCATTAGTCGTGAGGAGCACACTCGAATAAATACGGTACTTTAAGTGCTGTGAAAGTTGGATACAGAAGAGCTTGAGTGTCAATTTTGCCTCATACTTTGCCTTTGCCAAATCTCACTTTATTTGAACTTTTATTTATCAAATTGCCAAAAAGGAAATACGAAGAGAATCACAACTATCTAGATTGTTTCAAAAAATTCAATTCGAATTCAAGAATTCAAAAACACCAAAATTCAATTGCACATAGAAAAGTCGAGAAAAAGGCACCAGAGCAATATTCGTCTCTACAAGGGTTTCTCGAAAAATGAAAAGAATGAAATAAATGAAAAAAATGAAAAAAACAATTACAATATTTTCTAGATATGCAAATTTGGTCAATTGATATCACAAAAAACCGGGGGCTCAAAAAAAAACGATTTGAAAAGTACGGTACTTGGGAAAGTTGTCGCTTTTGAAGTTAAAACTTGGAAAACTTTACCGTACCCTTAAATCAAAAAGAAAATTAAAAGTTTGAGCTTATTTACAAAGCATTTTCTTTTGTTGGTGCGTGGAGATCGGCGGGGGACAAGTTTCAGGCAAGCTCGAGAATTGTAGGATTAGAAAAGTTGAAATTCAGCAAATTCAGCTGCTTACACAATAGCAATGAGCAAAATATCTAAAAACGACAAAAAGGGGAATATTTAGAAGAAGTTTAGAAGAAGAGACACCAGTTTTTCTTTCTGTTCTTCACGAGGTGCACCTTTGGTTTGTTTGAGATGGGGTGAGCTCCAGGATTGGATTGGATTGGATTGGATTGGATTGATTGGATTGGACCATTGGACCATTGGACCAAAGATTGGATTGGATTGGATTGGATTGGACCATTGGACCATTGGACCAAAGATTGGATTGGATTGGATTGGATTGGACCATTGGACCATTGGACCAAAGATTGGATTGGATTGGATTGGACCATTGGACCATTGGACCAAAGATTGGATTGGATTGGATTGGACCATTGGACCATTGGACCATTGAACCAAAGATTGGATTACAATTGGATTGGATTACAGTTAGATTGGATTAGATTACGATTGCTGATAGCTTTTGAATAGCTCTATCAATAGTTCTTATCAAATTTATAGCTTTTAGGCTTAGCTAATCTTTTTTGGAGATCGAGGTAAATTTAAGAGGGTCCATGAAGATTGCAACGCTACGAAAATTGCGCCGAATGAAATTGCCATTTATCAATGCCTTTCCTTTGCAAGTTTGGTATCAAAATTCCCTTCAATTTGGCTACACGATGGTATAAAAAACCTTTAGAAAAACTGTTGCTTAGTATAAGAAAGATGACCGCAAATCGACCTTCATTTTCTCAGCCATTGCTCTGACCAATCTCTCTCAGCCATTGCTCTGAAATTTTGTCTACAAGCAGAGAATTCCAATTTCTATTTGTAAACAAAATTCCAAAGCAATCCGCTAAGAAATGGCTGAGAAAACGAAGGTGAAAATAGGTTTGTGTTGGAATTTTTCCATGTCTACGATTGATTAATGAGTCAAAAGAGGTGATTAAGAGATACTCGTGATGAAGGTGATGCAAGAATAAACTATAAAAATATACTGTTACAGTTTAAGGTTTCAATCAGTAGCTAGTAAACTTCTTCGATATCTAACTTATGACTTAAAGCGGTTGTTAACTTGTCAGAATGTCAGATTTAATTGAATGAGAGTGACAATGCTGACGCTGGAGCTCCCCCCTTTTTGAAAACGCTTTGGAAGAAAGAAAAAAAAAATCGACAAAGGCGCTTACTTTCACGAGTAATGTAACACAAAAAAAGACAAATCAATGAAAAAAATTGGAACAATCGCAAAAAACATTGTCAAGAATGAGTCAAGAATGACACAACGGCACTGGGGGTGCTGAGGCGGCCGGGCAACGAGACCGTGATGCTTGGGAAGGGTAAGAAAGAAAGGAATTGAAAAGAAAGATTTCCGGTGATGAGATTGAACTCGACCTCTTTTTCCTTTCCGATCAGATCCTCTAACTGGCTATCCGGTAATCTGAGCTATCCGGTAACTTGTCGGAGGAAAGAGAAGAAGAAAGAGGGGAATAGAAAGTTGACAGAAGTTTACGATGAGAGATAAAAGATCAATCTAACGTTCGATTTGAACAGATGAAGAGAAGAAAAGGAGAAGAAGGAGAGAAGAAGAAGAGCAGAAGATTTGTTCAAAATAGAGAAAAGAAGAGAAGAAGTTACATGTCAGAGGAGAAAAGCTACTAAGAATTGATTGAATTGATTGAATTGATTGAATTGATTGAATTGATTGAATTGATTGATTGAATTCATTGAATTCATTGATTGAATTCATCGATTCATTTGGATAGATTTCTTTGGTTCTGGAAAAGAAAATCATTAGATCATCATTAGATCATCATTAGATCATCATTAGATCATCATTAGATCATCATTAGATAATCATTAGATAATTAGTTCTAAATGATAAATGCTATGTCTAAATGAAAAAAAATGAAAGCTAGAATTAGAGATAGAGAATTTTAGGCAGCAAATTGGTGTTGGACGGCCGCTGCTCAGCGGTAAGAGTCGAAAAAAGTAATCCGAGGGTTGTTGGGGGTAAAAAAATGGTAAATGAACATTTTCAAATCAAATTTTGATATTTTAATGCTGAAGCTTTGTTTTTGGAGGCAAGAGATCGATGTGGTGATGATTTGAATCGATCGAAACGCTTAAACTTCTTCAAGAGTTCCGTGTGTGCCCAGCATTTGCCTGTAGAGGGCTGAGGAGAGGAATCTGAAAATGAATGCTTTAAGTCGGTGCTTAGTCGCTGCTTTTGTTTAGTGATTTCAGCGAATTTTTGTTTTACAAGTGCTTTCTACAAGCTTTTTTATAATCCAATTACGTTTCAGTTCTTTTTTTCACTTGTAAAACACTTAACACTAGTAAGTGATGGCGCTGGATAGCCGCGCATACGCAAGACTCTTTGGTCCGTGTTTCAAGACGGGTCGGATAGGTGATCGACTTGCACACCGAATCACGCTAGTCGCGACACGTCTCCCCAACACGCAAGACACCACATAAGTGGGCAACACGTGCCGGTTCGACGCGCACAATCAACGCACTCAGCGCATACAGACAACAAGTGCACCGGGCCCGAAGGATCGGTTGAATGTTGCCTCGTTACGTCGACTCTATCCGTTTCGACTCCAGTGGTTTCACGCACTCTTGAACTCTCTCTTCAAAGTTCTTTGCAACTTTCCCTCACGGTACTTGTTTGCTATCGGTCTCGTAGCCATATTTAGCCTTAGATGAAGTTTACCACCCGCTTAAGGCTGCGTTCTCAGGCAACGCGACTCCAAGGAACGACCGACCGACTCCGTCACCACTCGTACAGGACTTGCACCTTCTCTGATCTATGGCCCCAGTCAAAGGGACTTTGAGTAAGTGATGGCGCCGGATAGCCGCACCTATACGCTACATTTCCCCGCGACTAAAAGCCGAGGGATTCAGCGCTGGGCTTTTCCCCGTTCACTCGCCGTTACTTGGGGAATCTTTGTTAATTTCTTTTCCTCCGCTTAGTAATATGCTTAAGTTCAGCGGGTAATCACGACTGATCTGAGGTTTCAACTTCGATGCTTGCACGATGCCCCGTACACCCCACTGGCTATGTGTGCTTTTCAGACAACTGTGTACGAAATCGCAAGGTGAAGCCGCTATTGCAAGCCGCTATTGCAAGCCGCTATTGCAAGCCGCTATTGCAAGCCGCTATTGCAAGCCGCTATTGCAAGCCGCTATTGCAAGCCGCTATTGAATATCCCCAGGTTTTCTCTGAGATATTTGGTACTTGTAACTCTATGGATTCTACTTGACAAAGTTTGCATTTAAAAGAACAATTTCTTGTTCTAAGTAAAACAAAATTAGCATTTCTTGTTCCAAGTTGGCCTTTAAGTTCTAAGTAAAACAAAATTTCAATTGGAAACAGCTATGCTGGCTGGCTGGCTGGCTGGCTAGGCTTAGGCTTAGGCTTAGGCTTAGGCTTAGGCTTAGGCTTAGGCTGGCTGGCTATGAGGCCTTCCGAAACGCCGAGAATTTGAGGGATCTCAAAGTCACAGCACAAATTGCTCAGCTTCTTTTCAGTTATCTTTGATCCCCACAAACCGGATTGTCATAAATCTTTACTCCTTTCCAACTATAGTCCCTCAAATCAGCTCTTACCACCTGCCATTTTCTCGCGCTGCTGACGCAAATCGCCGATTGGCCACCTGATTTATATTTTCAGCCCCCAAATTTTTGCCTAAACTTTCTAAAAATACCGTTAGATGAAAAACATCTTGTACTATAGCTTGTGTTTTTTTCAGAAGTAAAAATCGGGTTGCAAATCGAGAGAGTTCAAAAAGGTTCGGGGTTAAAGAAAGGATAGATGATAGGGAATTGTTGAGTTTTGGAGGTGAGTTTTTAAGAGGTTTTGTACGAGAATAAAGTCTTTAACTAAATAGGTAAATGTAATGAAGTAAAGAAAGAAAGAAAGTTAAAGAGAAAAGAAAAGAATGGCAAAGAATTTGGAAACAAGGAAGAAATTGAACCCTGGACCTTCTGCCTATCGCTTAGCTGTCAGATGCTCTGCCACTGAGCTTGTTTTCCCAAAAAGAAATAGGAAAGACAAGGCAGAAGAAAGAAAGAAAGGATGGAAAGAAAGGAATGGAACAAACAAATGGAAACACATCTTCTCTGGCACATCCTCCACATCCTCCACTTATCGCTCATCGTTCTCAACACCATGAGAACGCTGAGCATTTAGTGTATCAGAAAGGATGCGTTTCTATTCTTAAGCCAAAACCCAGTTAACCATTTTACTTTGAGTTGACTTTTTCTCAAAAACAGGCACATTGATCGCTTTTTCTATAAAAAAATTGCAAGAAAAACGTAAAAAGGATGCAAAAAGGACAAAAAGGATTCGTTTTCAACATAGCACAAAGTACATCAGCTCATCTAGCTCATCTAGCTCATCTAGCTCATCAGCTCATCTAGCTCATCAGCTCATCTAGCTCATCTAGCTCATCTAGCTCATCAGCTCATCTAGCTCATCTAGCTCATCAGCTCATCTAGCTCATCTAGCTCATCTAGCTCATCAGCTCATCTAGCTCATCTAGCTCATCTAGCTCATCAGCTCATCTAGCTCATCTAGCTCATCTAGCTCATCAGCTCATCTAGCTCATCAGCTCATCTAGCTCACTTGCCAACTAATAGCTAATATTTTTTTCCTAGCTTCTAAGCTTCTAAGCCATTCTATCTTTCTAAGCTATTCTAAGCTTCTAAGCTATTCTATCTTTCTATTTATCTATATATTTATCCATCTTTCTATTTATCTATCTATCTATCTATCTATCTATCTATCTAATCTAAAATTAATAGCTAAATATTTTCCCACCAATCCCTCACATTCCTCCAAATTCTCTCTTTTTCAAACTCTTTCAAATCGGTTGAAGGAAAAAAAAGATAATCTTTTTTTAATGAGCGATGAAAATTCAGATCTTTCTTTTCAAAATCTCCCAGGCAACGGGGATTAGAAAACCAGCAATTTGAAGGTGAAGAAGAAGAAAAACAAAAAATTAAGGCAAATTAGTGGGTATTCGGCTTTGGGAAATCATGTTTGTTTCATGATTTGAAAGATTTTTTTTGTAAAAGACAACCTTCTCCACAAGGGAATGGATGGAAAATTTTGAGAATTTTGAGAATTTCGACTGATTTGATTGAAGATTTGGAAAATTTTGAAAAATGGCTCCAATTTGAGCTTTCGAGGGACTATTTTTGCGGGAGGATTCAATTTAGAAATGAAATCATAAGAAAAATTTGGGGAGTTGTCTTGTACTTGAATTGATTTTTCTCAGGGAATTGTCTTGTACTTGAACTCGAGGCGATTAGATGGTCAATCGATTAGAATCGAGACTAACTATCGTTATCTTGCCTCTAGTTTCCTCCAATCAATGTATCTATTCTTAGCAACTTCGAAAGTCTGAGAGTTCCCTGATTGTACAAACTATTGCCAACTTTTCTGCTGTCTATTTTATTTGATGTTGGCAAAATGCGGCGTCGCCAATTGATTGCGCCCTTCGCCATTGGAAATTTGAGCTCAAATCGGTGTTGGGTTGTCCAATGGCAAGGCTGGCAGGGGCCATTCTCGCCTTTTGTACACACCCCACCCCTTCCATTGGCAACCCAACACCTTTGAGCTCTTCGTTGGGCTGCCAACAATAGTTTTTGTACCAATCGACAGAGAAAGACTTGGCGCATCTAATGATACCAAGAATATTTCAATTGGACAACCCAACACCAAGAAATTTGAGCTTAAAGTTGCATTGCCAATGGCAAAGGGGGCGAGGCGCATATCAAATGTCCCAAAAACGATTTTCAAATCAATTGAAAACAATTGACTTGTTTTTGAGGTCAATCCTCTACCTACTTTAGTATTTTGGACTCATTCACTAAAATAATTTCCAATAAAACAACTAGAACTTTTTGTATTTAACACTTTTTTGAGGTTCAACTTATGTTTTGAGTTTTTTTTTCTCGTTTTTTTCTTTCTTAAAGTTTAAATCCCGTTACCTTGGATAGGAGTCCCTCTGCATAAGAGTGAAAATCTGATTTTGTGCCTCGTCGAAAGTTTGCGATGATGGCCGAACCTGGAAAAGAGAAACGCGATTTTCTTGCTTTCTGGGGAAAAGGGGGACTTGAGAGTTCGAGAAATGGCGAAAAATGGCGAAAAATGGCGAAAAATATAGATTTTCTACATTCTGTACATTAATTTCAAAGCTTTCTTTATTGAAAGATTGTTTGAAAATCTTTGAATCATTGAAAAAAGTTAGATTTTTACAAACCATATTGTTGTTGACGATTTCTCGGACTCGCGAATCCAGTGAGACTTCTTTGGGTGAGAGAATCGAGATGAAATCTTCATAAATGATTCGAGCCTGGAAATTTTAACGTTAAAGTTGAAATCTATAGCAGAAATGGATTGATTTTCGCTTGAATTTCATTGTTGTTTTGGTAAACTAGCACTAAGGCGTCGGTTTTGAACGATGAGGGTTTCGAGAGAAGTACTCTAGCTACAATATTGATCCAGCACTCTTAAAAGAGCTTAAAAGATCTCTTAAAGATCTTAAAAGATCTCTTCAAGATCGTAAAAGATCTTAAGATCTCTTCAAGATCGTAAAAGAACTCCTAAAGATCGTAAAAGATCTCTTTAAGATCTTAAGATCTCTTAAAGACCGTATTTATCTAAATCTTAACAAGCTTTTCCAAAAACTCACTTTTTCCTCGATTTTCTCGGCATTTTTTTCGCGTTTCAATTCTTCGCAAGCTTGCCAGAAGAGAATATTCTCATCCGAGTATTCACCTTTCAAGAATTCAGCGAAATACTTTTGTCCAGCTGGAATTGATTAGATTTTGTCTTAAAGACTTACTTTAATGCTTCATTGAGCTTTTACTGCATTCATAGTTACTAATTGTGACTTTAAGAACTATTGCATCTAAATTAGACCTGCTTAACGAGTCCGGGCAAAATTTTCAGACAGTCTGCCTCACTCTTCGATTCTTTTACTGCCTAAAGCTTCTTCGAGCATGAAATCTAGTTCCCCCGCAAGCCCTTATTCTAGGCTTCATTTTGATACTAAACATGGCTAGGTTCTGTTTTGCCATTCTTTAGATTTCGATCATTTTAGATAAATTTGTCTGGACTTGTTAAGCTTATCGAATCCGGCGAAAGATCGATCGAAATCTAAAGAATGACAAAACAGAACCTAGCCATGTTTAGTATCAAAATGAAGCCTAGAATAAGGGCTTGCGGGGAACTAAATTTCATGCTCGAAGAAGCTTTGAGCAATAAAAGAATCGAAGAGCGAGGCAGACTGTCTGAAAATTTTGTTCGGACTCGTTAACAGGTCTAAACTAAATGCAAAATCTAATACTTTGTGTAAACGCACACTTTCTGCATTGAATTCTTGCAATCTTTGAGATAATGAAGGGGTGAGTGTGCCAGAAAAGGTGTGTTTCCATCTTTAAACTCATAAAAGTAAGCCATTTACAGTAAGCTATCAGTAAAAGCTACTGATAGCTTACTGTCAATGGCCTACTTTTATGAGTTTAAAGATAGAAACACACCTTTTCTTTTGTTTTGAAAACTATTAAAAGCTGCAATAAAAAGCTATAAAAGAGTAGTGTCTGTCTGTCTGTACGAGCATTTTCTCGGCCGTGTTTTCACCAATAAAGCTAAAACTTCTTTAGAAAACCTTAGAATCTATTGTAGTTATGCTATTTAAGATCAAAAATTTAAAAAGCCAAAATTGAGTGGCAGGGGGGTCAAACCCGGGTCTGCAGGGCGTCTGAGGGGCCGTAGACAAGCGCGCTCCCCACTGAGCCATGGCGACAAGGTCTTCCACCAGAAAAACCCGCTGTTAACCGGGTTTTTCAGTGATAATTCTACATGAATCCAAGTGGTAAATGATCTTTCATTCCACCAAAAAGGCTTTGCTTTGATCAGTTCGTTTCTTTCGATCTTTCGAACTCACTTTTATTCTTCATGAGATTGTCGAACGATTGTGACCATGAGTAGACCACATCATAAGCTGGCCTAAAAAGAAAACGATTGTGACCATGAGTTGTTTTCATGGTAACGATTGTGACCATGAGTTGTTTTAAAACGCTTTTCAATGCCTTGTCATGTAGATTTTCTTGTTTATTTTCTGAAAATTCTTGAAAAGTCCCTTTCTTTAAAAGAAAAATCCCTTTCTTTAAAAGAAAAATCCTTTTCTTTAAAGAAAAATCCTTTCCTTTCCCATTAACAGGTGAAAAAATTTCTCTAAGCACGTCACAAATCGCGTGATCCTACAATTCTTTTTTTTTTGGTGAGAGCGGAGGGAAAAGCGTCAAACACAACCCGATTGGGGGGAAAAAAGAAACATTTTCTGTACATTTTGTCTACAGTAATCTTTGGAAAATCTTTGTAAAGGTCAGGGTTTTTAATTTGGAAACACCAAAAATCCGGAAGGCTATTTTGGGATCGACCTGAAGTGTCGTAAAACTTTGGAAAGGCAGCTTCGGTGGCAGAGAAAAGTTGTATGAAAAAAAACTACCGTATTCTTCTTAATACTATGGTGTAAACCTAAGTATTAGGAAGAATACGGTAGGTGTCGTGGTTTCGGTGTGCGCGTCAATAGTTGCCCAACGCAAATGCCTAACGCAAATGCCTAGCGCCATATCCTCGCCAATTCAACTCCAGCCTTTTTGTCTTTGATTTCAATCGATACAAAATGAAATTCTCCGTTAATTGATATCAAAATCAAGAAAATCGGCTTGAAATTGGCCGAGATATGCCCATTTTCCGTTGCACGACTATTGACGTTCACACCAAAAATTGCCCTGGTCTACTATGACGCCATACTGACCATTCTAGTCTGACAAAATGATAGAGAGTTCAATAGGAGGATTACGGTAACTGAAACCCGCAATGGTTACATCAAAGCTAGAAACAATTAAGTTTTGAAAGCTCAAAAATCGTAGATCTCTATTTGAATCTAGATGAATTTGATGGAATTTCAAAGTTAGTTTCAAAGTATCAAAGGGTCCGGCTCCACCAAACTATTTACCATTTAGCATTGAGCATTTAGCATTTTCTAGCATTTTCTATCTGGTATTTTGCTAAACGGATTCAGCAGTTTAGAATTTAGCAATTTACCATTGTTTGCAACTTTGATTTGTTTTGCTTGGCTTTGTTTGGCTTTGTTTGGCTTTGCTTGGCTTTGCTTGGCTTTGCTTGGCTTTGCTTGGCTTTGCTTGGCTTTGCTTGGCTTTGCTTGGCTTTGCTTGACTTTGCTTGGCTTTGCTTGGCTTTGCTTGGCTTTGCTTGGCTTTGTTTGGCTTTGCTTGGCTTTGCTTGGCTTTGCTTGGCTTTGCTTGGCTTTGCTTGGCTTTGCTTTGCTTTGCTTTGCTTTGCAACTTTGCTTGGATTTGCTTTGCAACTTTGCTTCGCTTTGCTTGGCTTTGCTTTGCAACTTAGCAAATGCTAGATTTGCTTTTGGACTCAAAAAGTTTGCTAAATCTAGCAAATGCTCGGCTACCAGCTGCTAAATTTATCTCTTTTTGTTAAATTGTTAAATTGTTAGCAATTTGGTGGATCTAGATCTCAAAACTGAGGTTTCATTAACGGTTTCTTTAGGATTTTCGGGTCAAAATCATACAGAAACTCATTGAACGCGTTAATCTCGATCTTTTTTAACTAGATAAACCTATCTAACCAGATAAAATGTGTAGCTTTAATTTTCCCAATTGATCTGATCAATTAGGATCTGATCAATGATCTGATCAATTAGGAATATAAAGTTCAACTCATTTATTGATTGAATCATTGTCCAAAAGTGAACTCACTTATCCATTTGATCATTGTCCCGTTGCGCGCCTGGTGGCTTCTTCTCTGAGGCGACGCCATTGCTAAAACTGGGAAACGGTTAATTTGCGAGCAGAAAACTTGAGGATTTTCATTTCTTGAGATAAACTTTTCATTTTGCATTCGATTTATTAAAACAGATCAATTTTCTGTTTAAAATTTCGATAGATATCTGCATTCAATGATCAAAAAATTTGATTCATTTTATTGGGTTGGCGAATTGAAAACTACTGAAAACTGATTTCATCTGCTAGCTTGAGATTTATTCAGCTAGAAAATGAATCTGGGTAGAAGATTTAGTGCTCAACCCAATACCAAGCCTCGTGATCACTCGAGTTACTATAACGATATACTGGGTTGGTGAATTGAAAACTGCCGGCTATTCTCATATGTGACAGTTTGAGCACTTTCTTCAAAAGAAACCCATTTTGGTGTCAATGGAAAAGTTGTAGAGAATCAAAAATTAAGCCTATATCCAAATTTTCAGAACGATTGAAAAACTGGTTTTCAAGAAATGCCAAATTTACGAATTTTCACAAAACCGGCAACAAAACTTGCATTTTAAGCGAAACTACTAAGTGTATCTTTTGCAAATTTGGCTATAAGCCTAATTTTTGATTCTCTACAACTTTTCTATTGACACCAAAATGGGTTTCTTTTGAAGAAAGTGCTCAAACGGGGATCTCCAGTCTCCATCTCCAGTCCTCGATTTTTGAGTCTCACACTTGTCTCACACACAAACCAAAATCCTATTACGCAAGAGGAATCCGCAAATTGCCTGTAAAATGGGCAAAAGTCGTCAATAATAATGGAAATTATTTCGAATGAATTCATGGTTTTATGTTGAATAAATTTTAGTTCAAAGTCCAGTTCAAAGTCCCGCAGTTTTCAATTCACCAACCCAATAAATTAAAAGATTTCTATGGGTATCTTGCTTTCAATTAAAGCAATTAAAGCTTTCGATTAAAGCAATTAAGGCTTTCCATTAACTCTAGCATTGTTTTACTGAAAATTCAAAGTTTTTAATCTATTCTTTAGATTCTTAATTGATTTCAATCCCTATTCTCTAAATTGCTTTTCATTTTTGAATCCGAAACTCCAATCACTTCACACTTCAGCGACTTTTCAACTCGATTTTAGTTCATTGGATTAGCGGAACGAATCTCATTTAAATTTTGCAAATCTTTTCGTAATTTCCTTCCGATTTTTTCCAATTTTTTCAAATCAGTGAGTGGAGAACAAAAAAAGCTCAATGAGAAGGAAAAAAAAGGAAATTTTTGAATGAATGAATGAATGAATGAATGAAAATCTTCTGTTAATTATTCACTCATCATACGGATTTGCGAAAAAAGGGAAAAGAAGGAGAAGAAGGAGAAGAAGAAGAAGAAGGAAAAGAAGAAGAAAAGAAGAAAAGAAGAAAAGTTCCGGGTTTTTTTGAAAAGAAAACCTCTTCAGAAAGGTTTCAGACTTTTTGGGATCTATGTATTACAGGATTTGAACAGATTTCACGACTCTTTTCAGAGGTAATTGAAACGGCACAGAGGATCCCGTTTGAAAAGCTTTTTTGTCGAAAACAAATTACAGTTTTTAACCGATTTGACACTATTTTAATAAATTATTTGAAATTTTCATAATCCGTTAAGCAAATTGAAATGAATTAGCATAAATTTTTCAAGTTTTCAAGCTCAATTCAATCGAAATTTCATTTTTCAGTTTACAATTTGCGAGTTACTTGTACAGGAAAAGTTTATGGGGTCAAGTTGGCTTCATTTGGCTCAATTTTGGTCATTTTGGCTCAATTTTGGTCCATTTGGCTCAAGTTGGCTCAAGTTGGCTTCATTTGGGTCAATTTGACTCAATTTCGGGTCGATTTTGGTCAATTTGGCTCAATTGGAGTCGATTTGGCTTAATTTGGCTCAATTTTCGTCAATTTTGGTCAATTTTGGTCAATTTGGCTTCATTTGGGTCCATCTGGCTCAATTTGGGGTCAATTTGACTCAATTTGGGTCCTTTTGTCTCAATTTTGGTCCATTTGGTTCAATTTGGGGTCAATTTGACTCAATTTCGGGTCGATTTGTGGTCAATTTGGCTCGAGTTGGCCCAATTTGACTCAAGTTGGCTTCATTTGGGTCCATTTGGCCTAATTTGGGGTCAATTTGACTCAATTTCGGTCGATTTGACTCAATTTTGGTCAATTTGGCTCAAGTTGGCTCAATTTTGGTCGCTTATGGTTAATTTGGCTCAATTTTGGTCCATTTGTTTCAATTTGACTCAATTCGGGGTCGATTTTGGTCAATTTGGTTCAAGTTGGGTCCATTTGGCTCAATTTTGGTCCATTTGGCTCAATTTAGGTCGATTTTGGTCAAGTTGGCTCAATTTAGGTCGATTTTGGTCAATTTAGCTCAATTTGCCTCAATTTGGCTCGATTTTTCCTTAGAAATACTGAAAGTTGAAGTTTTTTTAGGTTTTGAATTCAAAAGTCGAAAAATTACGGCCCCGAATTGCAGATTGAAGTTTTTCAGTGACACGAGAGTGATGCGTTTTCTAACTAAAATTCTTGGAAACTTTGGGAATTCCAAGAGGAATTCCTGTTAGAATTCCTCCTGGGATTCCTGTAAGACAAATTCGAAAACTTTTTCTCACAAATAAACCATAATTTGATAAAATACTGGGATTTCTCAGTATTATTGAGAAATTTAGTTCATTTCCTCTAACTATTGATAAGCATTTCACTATCGAAGCGAATTTCCATCCAATTCCCATCCAATTTTCTCATTTCCTCATCTTTTCCTAATACCCAATCTCGATTTAGCAAAAGTGTCGCTAAATTTAGCACTCAATTACTCTTCAGGCTTAGCTTTCAAAGCAAAATTTCTTTTTCTAAAGATTTTCGCTTTAGAAAAGAGATGATTACCTCAATTTGCAAGGCAATAAAACAAAAAAAAATGACTAACAGGGAAAATTAAAAGAAAATTCTTGTAAAGTGAACAAAAACATGTTTGTAATTGAGAGAAAATGAATAATAAGAGCAATTATCTCTGATCAAAGATCTGAACACAATGAGAAGAGATTTTTGAAGAAAACAATGGTAATTCTGGATCATTTGGGTTTTTTCTTGAGAGAATTTGAGAACAATGGGGTTTGGGAGGAAAGGATGTACTTAGTAGACATGGTTATCGGATCGGATCGGAACAGGATCGATCCGATCCGTCCAACCGATCTGGCTAGCTAGATCCAATCCGTCCAACCGGGCTAGCACGATCCGATCCGTCCAACCGATCGGGCTAGCTAGATCCGATCAGATCCGTCTAACCGACCGGGCTAGCTAGATCCAATCCGTCCAACCGATCTGGCTAGCCCAATCCGATCCAATCCGTCCAACCGATCGGGTCGATCCGATCCAATCAGACAATCAAAAAACCATGTCTAGTACCCAGTACAGGATTCAATGGGTTCAGGATGTGAACTGGCACGTACTTTGTGCTTGGGTAAACGCTTATCTGGTACACTTGTTTTGAGCCCTATAACTCTTGTTGGATCAATGGTTGGGTGTTTCTTTGTTGCCAGCCGAAAAACGGCTAACGGCGGGTTTTTCTGGCTTGGTTTAGCGGGCCGACGTTTGTTGCCGTCGGGAGCCCGCTACGGCCCCCCGCAGACCCCCGTAGCTCAATGATTTCAGACAAAAACAGCTTCGCTAAGCTAGGAGAAGCCAGCGGGAATCTACACTAATGACGCACTAAAAGGGAATGGCACTAAGCCAGCTAGTTCACTTCATTTAAAACCCTCAACTCTTGCCTCATTTTCTCATTTCCTGGGCTTAAAAATGATCGCTTGGTGACGCAGAATTGAGAAAATCGAGAAGAAAAGTGGTAGAAACTAATTAGGGTTGGGTTTTTGAAAAGGATGCTGGTTTTGAGTGCATCAAATGAAGCCTCAAATCCTGATATTGAGAAAATCTTGAAAAGAAAAGGAAAACAAGGAAAAGAGACAATATTGAGGATGAAGATTTGGCTTTTTTTTGGGGGAAATTGTTGCAGATGAAGGGATCATCTTTGAGAAAACGGGAATGGAAAGCCGCCAATGAATTTTTGGTTAATCTTTGGTCATTTTTTTTTTGCAAAAGGTGACTCCTTTTATGTATGTATGTATTCCAATTTACTTTTACTTTAAAGATATTCAGTCAAAGCTGTAGTAAAGCTGGATTAAACAAGAAAAAGGCTTTGTAAACAAATCGTGAACAATTTTGATCCGACTTTTCTAGTCTTAGTCTCTTAATCTAGAGGATAAAGGGGCTCAATAGTAAAAGAAATTCTCTTGAAAACGCTACAGAAGACTTCTTACAGTAAGCTACAGTAAACGACGGTAAGCTACAGTAAACGACAGTAAGCTACACTAAACGACAGTAAACTACAGTAAGCTACAGTAACTACAGTAAGCTACAGTAAAAACTTTCTAATTTCCTTTTACCTTAAAGATATGCAGTCAAAGTTAAGTCAAGTCAGTTATCTAAGACAAGTTCATGCCGGTTAACATTGACTAATTGTAGTCTTGCAGTGTAAAAACGTCTGAAAGGCTGAAAGTCTCAAAGGTTGTAAAATCCTTCAGAAAACTGGTGTTCTTAACTTACAACTACCTTCGCTCTCTTCCTTTCTCTTCCGTCTTATATATCCTCTTTCTTCTCTGGCAAGAAGATAACGGATAGCTCAGTGGTTAGTAGACTAATCGATATCATTGATACAAACAGCATGACCGTTCAGATCACAGCTTCTAAAACAGCTATCAATCTGACAATTGTTTCATTGAAAAGTCAAGAATGCCAGCTTTTGTTTGCTATTTTATAGCGACTTTTAATGAGTAAGCACCACATAAACCTTATCGATACTTATCAATATCAAAAGTATTGATTATTGATAAGCTTATCGTTAACATTGATAAACTTTTTAAGGCACTCATCTATGCGAATTTGCTATTTTTGAGATAGCAATCAAA